TCAAATCACATTTCCAAGATATTCTCTCGTGATTGCAGGTGACTCAGGACATATTCCAAAGACCTTCTGGTGATCAGAGATCTCCAAAAACTTCTCATAATATTTTTCAAGTCTTCAGGTTGATCATGTATTATTCTGAAGATCTTCAACTGTCAAACAATGTAAATCACTTCTTCTTCGTCGCATTTCAAGCTTATTGCTTATCGCAAATCAGCTTATTGCGTGCCCTCAAACTAGTGTTCTAGATGCACTTCTACAGTTATTAATTGAGAGCTTTCGATGCCTGTACCATTTTTGCATTACATAGTATAATGGTGTGGCAAGTATAATCATACTCTATGCCCAGGGAAGTCGAGACATTTTCCAACCCGAAAAAAAACCTAGACCGGACCGGGAATCGAACGCAGCCACCTCCAGCATGGTCTTGCTTTATAGCTGCGTCTTCACCGACTGAGCTAAGGAAGGCCCACGTCTTTCATATATTCGCCGACGCTCCGGTTGCTCCGATTTTTTTCAAAGACCATTAGGTGATCAGCGATTTCCATCAAATAATCACCATACATAATCAACAATCCAAATCACATCCCTAAGATTTTTTCGTGTATGATACCACGTGACTCAGAAACTATTTCATTGCCTTCTCCATAGTACTCAGGATATTTTTCTCAGGTCTGCACGTTGTTCAGATTCTATTCTGAAGACATCTGGTTCATCAGGTAATATTCTGAAGATGCCAAGCTGTCCAACAATTCAAATAATGTCTCAGATATTCTCTCAGGAACAAAGATTACTCTTATTTTTTTCCAAAGATCTTCAGGATCTCTGGATATTTTTCAATACTTCTGCTTGGTTAAATTATTCTGAAGATCTTCTACTGTCCAGTAATTCAAATCACGTCTCTCGGATATTCTTTTATGATACTAGGTTGCTCAGAAATTATTTCAAAGGGCGTCAGGTGATCAGAGATCTTCATGAAATCCCCAAGATATTTTTTTTTTCAATCTTTCAGGTTAAATATGTGCCATTCTGAAGGTGTCCATCAATTCAAACTATGTCTCTCAGATATTCTCTTATGACACCACGCGACTCAGAAATTATTCCAAAGACCTTCAGGTCATCAGAAATCTCCAAAAACCTTTTTTTTTCAATACTAGGAGATGATCAAATATTATTTTGAAGAGTTTCAACTGTTCAGTAATTCAAATTACGCCTCTCAGATATTCAAGCATGACACCAGGATCATCAGAAATTATTTAAAAAGCATCAGGTCAGCATCCCCGGGATATTTTTTCAAGACATGAGGTTGATCAGGTACTATTGTGAATATCTCAAACCATACAATTTTTCAAATCACGTCTCTTAGATATTCTTTCAAGACACCAGGTGTCTCAGAAAATATTTCTAAGAGTATCAGGTGGTCAGAGATCTTCAAAGCCTTGGATATTTTTCAATACACTTTGATCCAAGTATTATTCTGAAGATCTTCTACTGTCCTAAGATTGAGATCATGTCTTTCAGATATCCTTTCATGAAACTAGGTTATTCAGATTTTTTTTCCAAATATCTTCATGTGCTCAGGTTGGTTTGTGTGGGCTGCTTATGGGAGGTAAGGTATTACAAAGTTAAGTTTACAAAAGCTGATAGGCCCATTGCAGTTGTAGGTCGAGAAACGTACATTTTATCCTGGGTTAAGTGGTTGAGTTTTTGGTAGCAGACCAGACTGGAAGAGATGTACGTTTAGAGAGGTTCTTCGGTGATTCCCGAGTAGAATATATCCTTTCCAAGAACGTTATTCTTGAACAACCCGTATTGGAACGTATCATCCAAATCTCCAGCTTTACAATATGGAAGTTCAAGTGCTTTACCGAATATCACACGCAAAGAAACTGTTCGAGATCATGATTATATCCGTTGACATACCGCAATCGTTGAATCTAAGATCTCCCTGATCGACAATTAATATGATACCACCTTTCTGATCGTATGGAGAATTGAATTTTTCGTGTATAGAAGATGCTTGTAGGTTGTCGGTATAGATCATCCAAATCCAAAGTTCTTCGCCAAACCGAAAGCTTCAAGTTCAAGAGTATTCTGACCCAGCATTTTCCCACAGACTTGGCTGCACCGAACCTTCCACGTCTTATAAAACAGTAAGTTCACCCAGGTCATCATTTAGAACGCTGGGATGTAGGTTGCTTTCACAAAGTTTCACCTGTGAAGAAAATTTGCATAAGCGATTCAAGAGTTGCTCACCACCTGCATATCTCTCGCCTACCCTAATAAAAATTGTATGGTTAATTTGCTTAACGACGTGTTCTGGGTATCATCCAAACCATTTGTGGAATAGTTCAATGATTTGGGTTATCGTTCGTTTATGGTTATTTTTTATTAGGGTAGTCGGCCGTTGTCTTATACTAGTCGCCGTCGTAAACCGCATCACAAGCAGCTTCAATCCCATGTAATTGTCCGAAATCTCTCCTCGTGGTTCGAACTCGTTACCTGAGGCTGGATTACGCTGTTGTAATCATCTTGTTCTTGAATCAGATTGGCTAATCAAAGTTGGCTACGGTGGAGAATAGAACAACTATGAAAGTGATGACGATTCCAAAAATGTTCACGGTGTACGAGGTATTCGAGTGCAATCTTAAAATTCATTTATTTATTTTGGGAACTAATTATTTAAATAAAATTTGCCTATTATTAGAAAACTCAAGGACTACTCAACAGACATATAAAATTAAAATAATTTACGCCAAAATCTCAAATCACTCCGGAGTTCTTCTACTCTCCACGGGGGCAAACTTTCATTCGCCAATTATAAGATCTATGATAGGGGAATTTACGTATTCTCGGTAACCTAAGCAGCGACCTTCTTTCTATAGCGTTTTTCTCTAAGGATATGTGTGCGTATGCAGTATTGGTTTGTTTACAATCGTTTGCTGCCAGCTGCTCTAACAATTTCAGTCGAAAGAATTGTCAAAAACTGTTTTGAAACGCTTTTACAAAGCTCCAATCTTCTCTAGTGAGAGCGAGTATTGTCGGCAACCGTTCCATTTGAACTGCATGTAAATTTGCTGTTCTATTATCGGCAACTCGAAATCAGCTACAATTTGTAGTGCGTGTGTTGTATTTCAAGAAAACCTTGCTAGATTGCTTTTTCTCAGTGGTAAAAATATAGTCAAATTGAAGCTGAAAGCATAAAGAATCGTTTGCATGCATTCAGCGAAGTGTTTTCGTAAGAAAACCCAGTGAAAATACTGTTTCAATTTGTGTTGCCGAAAATAGTCTGTCATGCCGAAGCCGTCATTTCCCCTAGTTAAAATTAGTAACAACCCAACATGCTCGACATTTTTACGGTGAAAGCGAACTCTTTAACAAAAAATATCATACCATAACGGTAACCCAAATGGTAGAACTATTCCACAAGTGGTTTGGAACACGTCGTTAAGTAAAATAACCATACAACTTTAGCTAGGGACTTGTTTTACTATTGTTGATACGTATGAAAATATAGGCAATACTTCTACCGACCGGGATGAGCACCTTGTAAACTCACCTGAACATCATTACTTCAGTGCATCGTTCAAAATCTGCAAATAAAAACTATTAACGTTGAATTTCATTAAATTCAATTAAAAGCACTCATCAAAACAAAACCCTGAACTAATTTTTCTGAAAACGCTCCTCTCCGCGTCGTCGAGTGGAAACGCTCCGCTCGTTTGTGTATACATAATCGGGGCTGATGTGGACAGCGGCAGCGGCATACTTTGCCTGTTCCACACCGTCCCCTCGCCCGCCTCCTACGTTGCCTTGTTTTCCCATCATTTCATGTACCACCGAATAAATATATAAAAGCCAGAAGAAGCATCGACCGCGCGCGTCAGCTCAGCACACAGCAGAATGGCGTCCAATTTGAAGCTGCTGTACACGTGCCATTGGTATTGGTGAGCGCGGTGTGCTCGACTCTTTGTTTGCTGCGTCCATGTGCTTCGAATACATAGCCAGCAGTGCTGTAGAAAACCCTCATCATCATGAGAAAAATAACGTTCGGTCCCCGTACGGATAGTGTAGCGCTTGGCGATGGGCATTGTACATAAACAGTGACACAGAAGTCGCTCAAAGTTGGGAAATGAGCCGAAATGCGCGAGCGAGAGAGGGAGCGAGCACTCTCACGAGCGATGAAAATTCGCGAGAATGAATCGAGAGTTTGTTTGTGATGGCGTCCCTGTTCAATCAATAGTGTCAGGGCACATCCGGCTGTTCTGTTCACTCCCATGGCCGCCGCCGCAGCACCGCATGTAGAGTAGACAATCATCGAATTGACCGTTTTCTTCGGTTCGGTTTGTGATTGAACGTGCTGCTCCTCGGGGTTAAAAAAAAGGATTCGTCACAAAATGTGTTTGATTATTGCTAATGATGCATCGGACGGAGGCGAATGTGCCGCCGTCGCCGCTGCTGCGCAAGTTGACGGGAAAAAAATATTGGATTGTTGGTAGACCCCTCGTTTGCTTGTCATCATCGGCATCTCGGGAGAGAAACGTTATTTTTCTTCGTTTTTGGGGTCGGAGAGGGTAGTGTTGGTGACGCACTTTTTGTCGCATACATCCAAGATGGTGTCCGATGTGCGAGGGGGCTCCGAGGGGCGCAACGAAACTGAAATTAATGATGGATTTTTTTTTAAATGATTTTTCTTAAACATTTGTTTTAACAATAGCAGAAGAATATAATTTTAAAAAAATGTGTTTTTTTTGGTAAATTTAATGTTTGAGACTGTTTGCGACGTTGCCACGTTTTCGCCCGAAGCAGGCCATGACGCTGCGGCCCCAAAGTGGTTTGGTTGGATTTTTCCTCGGCGGGGTGCGGTGGTGTGCGTGTGTGACGCTTTTTCTGTGCACTGGTGTGGGTTTTTTTCTACGGCAGTGTTGGTGTGTTCTCTCCGCGCTCTGCTGCAAAGAAGCGATGAAGCGTTATTTTTTCTTAATAGGAACCGATTGTACTTTTATTATATGTGGTGTATCATCTCGGAGCAACCTCGCGTTTCTCGCTCTTGCCTATAGCTGCGACGCATTAATATTATTCTTTTGCTGGTCTTCTACTATACGGTGTGTACTTTTCGGGTAATAATATACAGAACCATATCTCGCAAGGCAAGGCTTGCATTGCTGCCTGGCAAAAACAGGAGGCCGCTTTCTATTACAAGAAAAGAGGAGCATCATCGGTTTGTGCTGGCTTGTGGCCTACTACGGCTATTACCTATACGGAGTGTGTTGTGTTTCGTTCAAGGGGTGTGGAAGCGGAAGGAAGAAAACACAAAACATTAGACCACAAAACGATTTTTTCCTGGGTATTATTCAATAATACAAAGGCCGAAGTATATTATAACCTCTTCCGCGCTTCTAAGCCAGACCGTGTGGCCACCCGTTTCTAGTAGTGGAGGTGGAAGTGTCGAGAGTTTTACCGCGCGCGCGATTCAAGTGCACGTGAAAGAAACGCTGTGAATCAAATAGCAGTGCCGAGTTGAGTTATCTGTGGTGAATCCGCGTGCTTTTTTGCCCAAATGGTGCGACCCCGTGTTGTGTGTAGTTCCATACGAAATAGTAACCATCAATCCTAGGAACGAGCAACGTTAACTGCAATGGATTTGAGCGCGAAAAAAGGCTTCCGGCGCGTACTACGCCCGAACCCGTTCCGCTAAGCATTACTTAAGTGGGTCGAATCGTTTCGGCGGACCGCCTTCCATCATATTTCCAGTGAATATAAAGTTTCAACGGCGAATACAAAGCATAAACCGTTGGATTCCCTAGCAAGCTTCGACCGTCGTCCCGGTGGTGGTTCGACCACGTCGTTGGATTACGTCGCAGTTGAGCTAGCACAGAAATGGCGACAGGCGAATGTGACCGGAAGTGCCCAGAACCCGTTTTTAGCTGAAAAATAGGAGCACGAAGAAAAAAAAACATCCTGCTTCATGGTTGAGACCTTCGGGCCACCATTCCCACACGTATACACACGGCTAGCTAGGCAGAAGAGAGTGAACTTGCGCGATTCCTGGAAATTTTCCAAAACACAACGTTTCCTCACGCTCTCGTGTTTTTTTTTTTTTGCACCGTGCCCTTGCGTATTGTGTGCGGCAGAAGAGAAGGGCGCCGGGAGGTTTATCGATCTTGGAAAATTTTCCTTCCATACTTTTGTGTGCTTTCCATAACCGGAACTCAATGACAGAATAATCTTAATATACATATGGAACAACGAACGGTTCTCAGAAGCACAGCTTGCGCTCGAAAGAAATTTCAGCAAAATTTTTATAAAAAAGGTTCAAAATTCTGTGATTACTTTTGAAAAAAAAATAATAGAACGGAACGCGCGCGCTTCCACTAAAAATTGACAACAACGTAATCGCCGCTGCCGCCAGAGGGCGCCTCGCGTTTCCATGAATATGTGTGTGTGTGTGTGCGTGCGAGCGAGCGTGAATGTTTTTTCGAAGGGAGAGTCGCGCTTTTTCCGGTTTCCTTTTCTGGGCTGGTGTGCGTGTGCTGCGCGCCTCGAGCACGACAAATTGCGTGAAACGAAAGAGGTGGTGGTGGTTGTGTGTGAAAAAAGTTTAGTAATTTTATATTTTTGTCCGTGAGCGAACGCACGGTGAACGTGTGAAGCAGCCGGAAGAGGTCGAGAGAGAGCGATCGTGAGCGAAATTGAGCACTCCGGAGAGCACTCGCCCGCCGAACGGTGGCACGGCATGAGCGGAGCGTGAGTGAGCGCAGAAGGTCACCGGAGAACGATTGAGCGTGAGCGGGAGATTGGGGTTTTGCCTGGAGCGGAGCGGAGCGAACGAGCGATTTGCCGGAGAGTGCTCTTTTTCGCAAACGATTTTTTTCGGCCTCCTTTGGCAACGCGCAAAAGAAGGGAAATTTTTATTATTCGAAAGAAGAGTGTAATAATACTCGACAACACGGGAGCCGTGTATAGCCGCGTTTGTGTGGTGCTCTAGTGGAAGAAAATAAGACGGAGATATCGACTTTTTTTGCTGATCGTTCGTTCCTGTACGCTTCTATGAGCCGTTCGTTATTCGCATTATAAATATAATTTGTGTGCCATATATACATATGAATGTGGAAACAGAAAAAAAAAAATACACGAAGATGTGCACTTATTTATATATTTAACTTGATATTTATATTTTTGGTGTTTTCGAATTTGCTCCTGTGCAGGGAATAAGAATTAATATACACACATACGATTGTTTGTGTAGTTGTTTTGATTGGTTCGAAAGGAGCCTTTCTGGCAAGGAAGTGAAGAAGTGAAGGAGAAGAAGGAGCCGAGGAGGAGGAAGCAGAGAAGAAGGAGAAGTTTGGAGACGGAGTGAGTGCTTCCAGCGTGAGGAATAAGTGGAAGAGTATCCGACCGCACCGGGAGATTTAAGTCAGGAAGTGAGGTGTGTGTGCCGTGGTACAAGGAGAAAGAAGACGAAATCAAAGAAGAAGAAGAAGAAAAGTGCAAACAAACGAAGGAAGAAGAAGTAAAGGAAGAATCCAATACAGGAGTTGGTCCGGACAAAGTTTACGCAACCATCATGTCGGAGCACCATCGCGGTGCTTGGGGAACCCGGGAGGACGCCGTATGGTGGCCGGGGGGTATCTCGTCGTCGGACCAACAAACGATCCAGCATCATCAGCATCTACTTAATCAGCACCATCAGCAGCAGCTGGCCCAACAGCAGGCCCAGCTGCAGCACCAGGTTGTTCAGCAACAGCAACAACAGCAGCAGCAGCAGCAGCAGCAACAACAACAACAGCAGCAAGCCCAGGCACACAGTAACGATAATGCCCGAAGCAATAGTACAACGTCGACGTCCGCCACACAGCAACTATTTTCCTACAAAATGGCCAACAGCTTTCAGAACCCGGTTACGACCATATCGGGCGTAACGGTGTCCACCTCCAATTCCCCGTACGACTACCGTCTCGGGATGAGCACAGCGGGTGTCGTGTCACGGCCCGGTGATCCACCGACGATGGCCAGCACGGCGCCGACGACCCAGTGGTGGTACCCTGGCGGACAGAATGCCCTCGACAACTCCCTGCAGCAACAGCAACAGCAGCAGCAACAACAACAGCAGCAACAGCAGCAGCAGCAACAACAGCAACAACAACATCAGGTACAACAACAAACCCATCAACCGCAGAATCAACATCAAGCCCGTAATCAACAGACCCAATCGGTATGTACTCCCATGGTAGTAAGGCCGGGTTCCGCTCCCATGAGCAGCCTCGCGCCACACACGAATTTTTGGCGCGCATTTTCTTCTTGCATATGTTTTGAATTACAATCTACGCGTAAACATCAATCTCGTTCGAGCGTTCGTTCGTTCGTTCGATTCATTCGAAGAAGAGATACCGGCCTAAAGAGTGTTGTACAGTCAGTCAGAGTCGTGTACATACATAACAAGAAAAAAAAAAATAATATGCCGTTAATTGGGAGTGGGGGTGGGGGCTCTGTTGATGACAGTTTGTTTTGATGTTGGTGCTGCTTCAGAATAATACTAACCGAATAGTGTTGTTGTAGCTCTTCCGTCGTTCATTTTCTTTTGCTTTTTTTTTCACAAGACCCTCCCGGGTAGTTGTGTAGAAACGCTCCTAGTAGTGTAGGTTGCCTTAGTAGTAGTAGTGTTAGTAGTAGTAGTATTAGCCGTTACTCCTAGTACCGAACATTAGCGAATCAATTTAATCGAAAAACATGCCATCACACGAAATTTGGGGATTTACCCCCCACACCACCCACCAATTGCAAATTGGTCCTCCACCCGGTTGTATGTGCAGTGATGGGTTGTTCTATTTAAACGTTAACAACAGCTGAATGGGTAGTGCGGGCGAGGGGGGGTGGGGCGGGGGTTGTATTTTGCATTCAAACGATATTCCGGTGTACAAAGATTGCCCAAGAGGGGGTGTGGGGGTTTGTTTTGATTTTGTTTTTGTTCTGGCGATCGGTTTTGTTTACAAATCGAATCGAAATAGCTCTAATCTGGGGTAGGTGTCATGTTTAAGAGGTTGGCAAAATATGCTGAGAATGTTTGTTTTGTACATTTTTTTCCGGGGCTATGTCTGGAAAATTTCCGTCCTTGGATGTATTTTAATGTGTATCGCTTCCTGGTCTTTAAATAGAGTTACTTCAGTTGTCACTACAGAAGGTGGATGAATTCCATTTCGGACATTTTCGGTGTGTTATTGAAACACTTCATTGACAAATTTAGGAGAAATTTCGGGGGAGTAATTGTCAGAAGAAAAGAATCCAAACAGAATTCCAGGCGAATTGAAACAATATTTCTCGATTACTTTTTCGAAGGGACGTGTATCAGCTTTTGTAAACAATGCATTTGATCGTCAGTTTGGCGTAACTGGTAGGTCGTCCACGGCATTCTAACACCACTACTATCAAGTAGGAGAAAGTTTCCCCTATTTGATGGTATTGTTAGCATGCGTGGGCGAGCTACCAGTTTCGCTAAACCGACGATCAAATGCATTGCTTACAACAGCTGATACGTCCCTTCGAAAAAGTAATCGAGATTTGTTGCATCGGATAATCTACCTGTTCATGGACGCATTTGCGATAAATTCCCAAAATAAAATATTGATGGAATTTATCAAATTCTGAAGATTTTTCCCCTCTCTCTCGTAAGGAGTCCATTGAGGTATTTGCGGGGGAAATTCCGAATGAAATCACTGGATTCAGCAACCGTAAACTATTCCATTTTGTTTTTGACTATTGTTTTTACTGATTATGTACTGCAGTGGCTTCGCTTAACCTCACTTTGTACATGTTCAACAATTTTGAAAACGTTATTTAGGGTCATGCTTACATTCAAATCAGTTTCAAAAGGCACATGATCTTCTAGTTTCACTGATTTGTCTGGTCCATTGGAACTAATATTGTTTTATTTTAAGCTGAACAATGCATTTGGTTCAGTGGCGTTTCCTTAACCTCAATCTACCTGTGCACCAACTCTCAAAACAAAAACAATTATCAACATATTGCTTGCAATGGATAGATATCGAGTAAACTAGAAGATTAAGTGTATTTTTCAACCGATTCGTGTATGAATATGGCATTAAATCTTGTTTTGAAAGTCGGTGCACAGGTAAAAAGTGAGGTTACGGGACGCCACTGATTTGGTCCTAAGTAACATTGACAGCTTTTCTTCGTCCACTTTCTCTTTGCATCCTCACGGCCATGTTAAGACATTCTCAGCTATTTTCACCATACAGATCGATGAAAGAAGCTGTTATCTAGCTTCTAGTACGACAAACACGATAAGAAACGGTTCTGTATCCAAGTTATTAACGAAAGAGAAAGTCGATGAAGAGGATCGATCAATGTTACTGAGGACCTAATGCATTGTTCAGCTTGATTTGTTTACGTTTTGAGAGTTGTTGATAGGTAGATTGAGGCTAGGGCGGCGCCATCTGATGTACTGCAATTGACCATAATCAAAAGTAAGCCCCAAATATTGCTGCAGAATTGAAAAGTGCGATACATTTTCTATACAATGTTTCTGATTTGAGTAATTCGAAGCTATTTGGAGAGCGGTTATGTTGGGTGACGTTACCAAGTTTGGCACTATTCAAGAATAACTACTACTCACCAAAATTGTTTGACCTACTCAAAACAGAAATTTTTGATCAAAAGGAACCATCAATTTGACAGGACATTCAACGCACTTTCCAAATCTACAATAATATTTAGGTGCTACTTGTCATTTTATTGACTTCTAGTGTAAAAATTGGTCAAATTCGTTTAACGGCCAGTAGAATGCTTTTTCTCGAACCTTCATGTTCTTTGTTTACTTACCTATGGAAGTCGGATTCTTCAAAACAAGATGGAAGATTAATGTATTTCGGCATGGACTGAAGGGTCATGGTTAATATTGTACTCTCGATCCCGAATTAACTCAGGGTAACCACCGAACCAAGAAACCTGTGAAAACCGGGAAATAACCGGGAATTTGAAAAGTAATAGGCAATGGGGTCCTTTAGGGGTATTAAGGTAAATGCATATTCGTGATCTGCATAACAATGGAATAAGTCACAATCATACCCAAGTAACAATTTTGGTTTTATGAGGGATCTACAGATCATTATTTAGGCTTGTAGGATGCTATACAACCTCCATAAAGCTTGCAATGTTAGTTGGGTAGCGCCCCTCGGTGGAACTTTGTATGGGATAGGAAAAAATATCATTGTGTTTCCATAGGAGAACCGGGGAAAATCCATAAACCTTAACGTACCTTTAAATTACTCAGCAATAGTACAACATGTCTTCTCTACGCCATCCCGGATGTAATGTGCATGACTTAAGAAAAACGTTTTTCAAACTCATCGCAAGTAGTATGCACGACTTCCATCGGCATTTCGTCCCAAATTCGAAGGATTACGGATTTGAACTGGGCCAAAGTAGACACCTTGTGCTCGTTTATTTTCGACAGCATGTATGACTACACAAAATAATCTAAGGGGTTTAGATCTGGTGAACTGGGAGGTCATTCATCCTTGACCAAAAGCACTCCTCAGAATACCATGGAATTCTCTTCTGAATTTTCATTTTTGTCTTAACATAACCTCCGAATACGATTCCTTTGGTATTTTTTCGTGAATTCCTTAAGATTCTCTGCTGAATCTTCTTCAATATTCCATTGAAATTATCTTCACTCCAACACTGTTCAAATTCAGATTATAACTAGACCAACAATTGACATAGGTGGAACAACCAAACGTAAACAATGGCTTTGGACACAAAACTCTCGAGAATCATCAAAACACTCCCACGTAAACTAACAAAGCCATTCGATAAAGGAAGTTTGCTCTATCAGATCATGGTGTTAGATTTCTTGGTTGTGCTTTGATTCTCGAGGAATTTGCGTTTAAAGCCATTGGTTACGTTCGGTTGTTCCGCCTATTTCGATTGTTGGTCTAGATAAGTGTCCTGAAATTCTCCCTAAAATTCATCTTCTAAATTCTCCCCACAAACCTTTCTTCTTAGAATCACCTAGGAATTTTCCTTGAAGTTCTGCTCAGAACTCCCTTGGGATTTTTTCTCATAATAATCTTGGGATTCTAATCATAATTCCTTTAAATTTTTCTTCGAGGTCTTTTTTTTAATTTTAAAATTTCAACAACACATTATTAAAATTATTATCAGAACCCTCAAGTTTTCAAAGTTTTCCAGAACGCATAATTTATTTTTTTCTCAATCTTGGATTAATTTTTTTCAAAATCCCACATTTTGAGTATTTTTCTCAGTCACAGATTGTTGAAACATGGTCACATAGTCGAAGTCACAAATCTCGTAAAAAAAATTCATAGTAAAAAAAAAGTTAAAGTCTCAGCCAGCATCTTGTAAATTTTCTTAATTTGTTTTAAAGATTTCTGTTAGTACATATCACAGTGTGCTAAAAAAAATCTGCTCCAAGGACTTCGTATAACGTTTAAGATTTCTAAAACAATTTCTCAATGTAATTTCTCGCTCTAGAATTCAATATAATAACCCATTAAACCCGATAGCGAAAAAAAAAACTACGAATCTGTTACTTTGTAAATTGTGACGCTTTGAATCAAAAGAGTACTCGAGCTAAAAAATTGAATTCAAATTGATTCTGACTATCTCGAAACGTGATGAAAAATTCCAGCACTTTCGTTTTTTGCTTAATATTAACAACCGGAAATTCTTGAAATTTAAACCAGGCAAGTACGGGGAAAACCGGGAATTGCAAAAAAGAAATTCATTGGCCACCCTGTTTAACTCACTGGGTGACAACATTAGCTCGAAGTTCCATTTAACCATTATGGCCCTATGTGATCCTGACCAAATAGAATGTTTCCGTTGACGTAAATATCGTATCGTTGAGAGTTTACCAAAATCCCACCCCCAGAAACTCAACGCAATCGTCATCGAAAACTTAAGCTCATTTTAATCGATACCCATGCCTTTTTGACATTTAAAATTGTTGATTAATTTACATAGTTAGGAGGAAGGTAAATCCAGAGAATTGCGAAACAAGTTCCGGAAGATCTAAGGTGAATATTGATACAAGATTGGCTGCTTTGAGGCTTCCTTGGAAATCCAGACTTGTTCCGATTACGCAGATTTCGTGATTTCTGGACCATGGGTTCAAAACTAGCCGGAGGCATTTGACTCCTGGAACTAGATTTCACTTCGTATGAAATATAT